CTGCTGATTGCTCCTCAATAATTTGAACAGAACAGGGCCTTCAGTCGACATCTAACTAGTAGAATGTATGTAACTAGTAGAATGAAGATTGAAGAAGGTTTCAAGAAGAAGAAATCTGTAATCTGTATTGAGTGAATATTCACAGCTTATTTTTTTTTAATGTACAAAATCATCAGCTATATATATACAGTTTTCCTAAGAGATCCACTGTAATTCTCGGACTGTGGATGCCATGGCTCTGTATTCAGCTTCAGCTGAGGAGTAGGAAATGGTAGACTGCTTCTTGGCTTTCCAAGAAATCAAGCTACTGTCAAGGAAAATGCAGAAACCAGTAATAGAATGTCTGGAAGATCTACAACTCCCATAGTCTGCATCACTGTAAGCTGTGAGGTTATAGGAATTGTTTTTAGCATAGAACAAACCTGTAGAGATGCAGCCACTCAGATATCTCAGCACATGCAAGCAGCTGACCACTGTGATTCATGTGGTGAATGCACAAACTGACTAAGCTGCTGGACAGAATAAGTCAGATGAGGTCGACTGAAATTCAAGTATAACAGCCTTCCTATAAGCCGCCTGTACTTCTCTGGATCAGAAAGCAATGGTGTAGAGTCTTTATCCAAGGATTCAAACTTGAGATCTCTAGGCAGTGGAGTGGGTGTTGGAACACAATCTAACATATTTGCATCTTTCAGCAACTCTGTGATGTATTTCTGTTGCTGTATGTATAATCCTTCTGAAGTATAATTGAACTCCATCCCAAGGAAGTATTTGGCTTCCCCCAAATCCTTTATGGTGAAAGCCTCATCTAGGAACAACCTTACTTTTGTCATTTCTGGAACATCATTTCCAGTGAGTAGAATATCATCTACATAAACCAGCAAAAACAGCAAACTGCCTGGTTTCTGTAGAACAAACAAACAATTATCATGATATGATTGCTGAAAACCATAATCCTGCAACTTAGAAGTGAACTCCTAATTCCATTGCCGAGAAGCCTGTTTAAGGCCATATAATGATTTTTTTAGCTTACATACTTGAGGAGAAACTGCTTTAGTGTAACCCTGGGGAGGAATCATGTACACATCTTCTTCAAGGAATCCATGTAAGAAAGCATTATTCACATCCATTTGCCACAAAGACCAAGACTTAGAAGCAGCAATGGCAAGCAATAATCTCACTGTAACAGATTTTGCAACTGGTGAAAAAACTTCAAAGAAATCTTCACCCTCAACCTGATTATATCCTTTAACTACCAGCCTTGCTTTAAACTTGTCAACTGTACCATCAGGTTTGCACTTGATTTTGTACACCCATTTGGATCCAATTGCCTTCTTTCCTGATGGCAAAGTTGTTAACTCCCAAGTACCATTAGTTTCTAAGGCTTCTAACTCCTGCTCCATTGCTGTCACCCACCTGTGATCTGTCCTTGCTTGATTGTAAGTGACTGGTTATGAATGCTAGATAATTGTGCAAGGAAATGCTGATGTGAAGGAATACAGTCAGGTGCAAGAGAAGAAGAAGTAAGAATATGATGAGAATGTGATGGTTGGTCTGTTTCATAATTAGCCAAGTATGATGGTGGTCTTCTGTTCCTAGTGCTTTTCCTAGGAATAAAGGACTGTGAGATGGTATGGCTGTCTTCTGGCTCAAATATAGGATTGATAGGAGTATTTTCTGTGGTAACAGGTGGAGGTGAAGAATGATCATGTGAAGATGACAAAATATCTGATATAGGAGGAGAATCTGAAACTGAAGGAAACTGATTATTATCAGGAAAATGTATAAGAGGTAAAACATGTTGATCATCTGTGACAGGCATGGAAGGGAAGACATCTTCATGGAACACTACATCTCTAGAAATAACAGTCTTTTTTATGCAAGGACAATAAACCTTATATCCCTTTTGATTAGCCGGATACCCAAGAAAGATTCCTTTAAAAGATCTAGGTTCAAACTTATCTCTCTGAGGGTTGGTGTTAACAACAAAAGCTAAACACCCAAAGATTCTGAGATGTGTAAGATCTGGTGGCTTATGATATAATATTTCATAAGGAGATTTCCAAGACAAAAGTTCACTAGGAAGTCGGTTGATCAGATATGTGGCAGTCAAGATTGAATCTCCCCAGAAAGTCTTTGGTAATTTAGATTGAATGAGCAATGCTCTAGCTACTTGCAGAAGATGTCTATGCTTCCTTTCAGCTACACTATTCTGCTGAGGAGGGTAAGGACAACTGGTTTGGTGAACTATTTCAAGTTTAGAAGTAAAAGCAGATAAAGATTGGTTCAGAAATTCTATCCCATTGTCTGTTCTTATGGTTTTAACAGTGGTTTGAAACTGATTCATGATCAGATGAATAAAGTGTTCTATTAAAGTAGACACTTCTGATTTTTGTTTGAATAGAAATACCCTTGTACAACGGCTGAAATCATCAACTATTGTCAGAAAATAGTGACAACCTGAAAGAGTGGATTGTTTATAAGGCCCCCATACATCCAAATGTATCAAATCAAAACATCTTACACTTTTAATATGGCTATGACAAAATGGTAATCTGGTTTGTTTAGCTAAAGGACAAATCTCACATTTCTTTTGTAAAGAAACTATTGTATTACATCCTGATAAATGCCTCATAACCCCCTCTGAAGGATGTCCTAGTCTAGAATGTAATATATCTGAAGATATTGCTGAAAAAACTTGTGAGGAAGCTTGTGTCTGTTGTGAAAAAATAGTAGGATTGCGGATGTGAATCATGTAGGCTGCTAGTTGATCTTGTGACTGCTGGAGTAGGATTGCGGATGTGAATCATGTAGGCTGCTAGTTGATCTTGTGACTGCTGGATAGCCTCATGAGTGAATGAATGAGGATCAAGGATGTACAGTTCTTTGATGACTTTTCCTGCTGCAAGAACCTTGTTGGTTTTAAGGTCCTGTAGCAGACAACAATCAGCAAAGAACTTGAAGTATAAGTGGTTTACTTTGGCTAATTGTCTTACTGAAAAAAGATTATACTTGAAATCTGGTAAGTATAAGAAAGAATATAAAGTAACTGTGTCTGATAAAACTGCATTTCCTATATGAGAAACTGAGCTGATACTACCATCAGGAAGCCACACAGGGGTAAACTTAGTGACTGGTTTAGAATGAACCAAAAGAGTAATGTCTATGCACATATGTCTAGTTGCACCACTATCAGATATCTAAGAACCAGGTTTAATACAATCAGAAGGTAAATCACAAAGTTCAGTTGAGCAAGAGCTACCTGCAAATGCATCAAAGTATGCAAAGTTAACTCCTGCTGTTGTTCCACTCCTTTCAACAGGATGCTTTCCTTTGAGAATCTTGCCAACCTCTCTTTGCACTGCATTTGAGATCACCATCTGCAAGTCATTAGAATCTCCATGTAGACCCTGTGACATCTCCAAAGGTGTATCAGCCACACTAACCAGGTTTGCTAAATTAGCCTTCTGCTGTAATTTTTTCTTGTAATCATCCCACCATTCCGACAATCCATGCAACTTGAAACATTCCTCCTTTGTATGCTTATACTTATTGCAATGTGTGCAATATAGATTGCTCTTATCTCTTTTCTGATATCCAGTATTCTGGTATCCAACATTCTTGAAAAATCCAGTTCCTGGTTTAACTGCAGCACTACCAGTTTTCTTCCAATCAGATGCTCTAGCAACCATGGCAGCATTGTCACTTGATATCTTAGCAATCATTGCCGAATTCTCTGTTGGTAAAGCCATGCTGATGCTCACTTGTCTATGCTTTTCTGCCGTCTGTATCATGTTATAAATCTGATTAACAGATGGAAATGGATCCATAAACACAATATTACTTCTTTCCCTGTGATAAATGTCATTCAAACCCATCAAGAATTGCATTCCTTTATCTTCTGATTCCCTGGTGATGACCAATTCTCCCAATTCACTGTTGTCTATGGTTGTTGGCCTCAATTGTGCATATTGATCCCACAGGTGCTTGAGTTTCCCATAGTAAGCTGATACGGTTGAGTCTCCCTGCCTCGTTAATGCAATATCACGCTTGATTTCAAACAATTGTGGCAAATTTGTAGTCCCAAACTGCTCTGCTATATCATTCCACAGAGTTCTAGCATCATAGATAAATGCAAAGGTGTTTGCAATCTCAGGTGACATCGAGCTTTTGATCCAGGAGCACACAAGACTATTGGCTTGCTTCCATCGTGCAAATTGAGGTGAATTAACTACTAGTTTCATAAGACTTCCTGTTACAAATCCATCCTTCAGCTTTGACTCCAATGCTGAAATCATAGCTCCCTTCCAAATCAAATAATTCCTCTCATCAAGTAGACCTGAAACCAAAGGCGTTCCCGGATTCTCTGATCCGTGTACCTGTAGCTGTATATCAATCAAGTTCTCCATATCTCTTCGTTCATCTCTTCCAAATTGATTATTCCTACGATCTTCAAATTCTTCCATCGTATCTTCAATTCGTGTTGAATTCTCTGTAAAAAAGCACCTGATTACTTCAGTTTTGAAGACGTGAAGCTTGCAGGAAAAAAAATGAACTCAGATCTGATAGAAATCAAGATTTTGTAGTGGAAAATTCAGAAGAGGATCAATCCTGCTCTGATACCATCTTACAAAGCAGCATCATCAATAATCGATCATCATCATCAATCAGTGAATCAAAAATAATCAGTGGACAAGAATGTATGTAACTAGTAGAATGAAGATTGAAGAAGGTTTCAAGAAGAAGAAATCTGTAATCTGTATTGAATGAATATTCACAGCTTACTTTTTTTTAATGTACAAAATCATCAGCTATATATATACAGTTTTCCTAAGTCAACTACATCTGTACTGCTAATTTTTACAGACACAAAACTAGCACACTTTAATCTAATGGTTAATATTCATCTATATACACTCAAAACTGAACGTTAGATCAAGCTAAACACCAATCACCTGGATTGATGACCTGGAATTGATGTTAATTTCCAGTAACAACCATGCAAAGGTCGGTTGGAATTGGCGGGATTAAATAGCTGGATCCTTCCATGAGCACGTGCAGCAAGAGAACCTTCCAGATGCAAGTGTGCTGCCGCATTCAGTTCTGATGCCATGTATGCAGGTTCAGGCGTCTTCTGTGCTGCTCCTGATGTGGAAGAATCAGAAGATTCTGGATATTGTAACAGTTTGGATAAAGAAGCTTTGATTTTGTTCCGAGTTTTTGTTTTCTCTGTCTTTATTTTGTTGGGTTGTGATGAGAATCATCTCTGGTTGTAATCGAGGCTAGAATACACGAGATCTCTTTTATTCCGAGAATTGAGAGCTTTGCACAGCAACTGCTTGGCAAAAGTTCTCCGAGAGAGTTTCTACCTGCTGCTAGTTATTTTTTGCTGCTTTTTTCCTTGAGCTTGAAATTTCTAATATTGATGGATTCGTCGGCCCGTCGAATGCGTCTGGATTGGTCGGGCCTTATACCCGATCTGTTGGTGAACATAGCTAAACACATACCGTTGATGGAAGATTTCGTGGCGTTTAGAGGGGTGTGCACTTCGTGGCGAGCTGTCGCTACCAAAGATGTAATTGTTCCTTCAAGAGTTCCCCTGCTTATGTTGGCAGACAAACAAGAGGAAAACATTGCTGAATCCGAACGCGAATTTTACAGCCTATCGAAAAGAAAGATTTTTATGAGACTTTTCCTCCCGGAAACAAAGGTAAATGTTGTGTGGATGCAAGGTTCGGATGGTTGTTAATGCTGACAGAGTCAGGAGACGCCACTTTGTTGAACCCATTCTGCCAAGCACAGATTCAACTCCCCAATTTCAAAAGATTTAGTGAGTATAATACTAATAGGATTTGCCCTGATTATACTTATATAACGAAAGCAGTATTGTCAGATAGTCCATCTGGGTCGTATTTACATTAATGGTCATTCATGGTGGTCGGAGCTTTCTGGGATTTTGGAAGCCGGGCGATGCGAACTGGACCAACATAGAATCTTATGATGGCGCATTCTGTGACGTCAGTTACCACAACGAAAAGTTTTATGCTATAAATACTCAAGGCCAAGTTTGGGTTTGGGATGATAAGCGGCCAGCAAGCCAGCTCAGGGTTGCACACTTTCTGTTTTCCGTGGATGAACAGTTGGTCAGCTGTAGAATCCCATATTTAGTGGAAAGGGTTGATGGCTTACTGCTGGTTACACGCCGTGTTAATAGAGGTTATGGGAATTATAAGACCAAGAATTTCAAAATGTGCCAATTAGATATTGCGAAACTCAGCTCAAAGAGGATTACTAGTTTGGGTGGAGATGCAATATTTGTTGGGGATAGTGCTGCTATTTCTGTTCCAGCAACTGAGTTGGAAAGAAGTGGAATTATGGGGAACCGTATATATTTCACGGATGATAGTTGGGAGGAATTTTTTGATGGAGGAAGGACAGGGAGAGGTGGCGGGGAGGATATGGGGATTTATAATGTTGAAGATAGAACTATTGAAAGCTTCCGTGGCTGTGATGAATCCCTTAGCATCCTCTGCCCGCCCGTATGGATTGTTCCATCTTTCTGATTCTAGAGTTCGGACGAGTTTCATGTAAACTTGTGAGAAAAATTTTACTCTGTTGAGTTCTAGTCTTTTTTATTATTATTTTTTTAATAATTTCGTAGCTCTTGCGAATTTCTATCGTAATTTTCTTATTTTGCTATATTTATGGTCAGGAAATTCCATTTCGAGTTGTATATATGTATCAGGTGGATTACATTTTGTTTATTCAACTATGATATCATAGTCTGACACTTCTATCTTACAATCTCTAGTATAGAGTTTAATATTTTTTTACTGATCATATAATCTATGTGTTTTGTACCATAGATAATTATTTTTTACTTTATATTATTTTATATATTTGAAGTTTGAACAATCAAAATTAAAATCAATAAGCCATGACCAGAAGATTTCAATAGCTCTGCTCACTGGTTGTTTTTCACCTGTAACGGCAGTTATTGAGTATCTGCTGCCTGAAATGAAAAATGTATCTTTGGGAAAGAAATATAATTCAAAACGATTTGGTACTTCTTTCATACAATTTCATCTGTTAGATCACATTTAAGATGTTGTATGCCATTTCTAAAATATCCTGAATGCTGCTTTGTCATGATATTACCTCAGAAATGCGCAGCAACTGTGCCTTAATACTAATGAGGTCAGTCACTTTATCGACAAAAATATCAATCCATTAGATTTCGATCTCTTTGGTCTTCCCTTGTGGCCATGGAAAGATGTTTAAACCAAATGGATCGGGGTAATTTTCTCACTAAAGTGGATCATTTCTAAGAGAATGCAGCTTTTAATTTCTGCAGCAGGTTCCTGCGGAAAGAGGTAAACATTAAGTACTTGAATTTTTTTATTTTTTTATTTTTTTTGTGGTTTACACTTGAAGTTTTTTTCAGTTGCTTTAATCAGAGAAAGAGTTTAAAGGGGCTAAGAGGGCTGGGTTCGTGTTCAGCAGAATAAGTGTCAGTAGTCCAGTTGTATGCTCGTTACCTGTCCGGGTGGTGAAATTGTGGAATAAGAATCAAGGAAATGATAAAAGGATTATAGTAACTTCCTCTGAAAAACCATTGATCAAAATTAAATCATTCAATGGTACATTGAGTTTCCATTACATTTTCTTTGAGGGGAATATCGGTGGTTCTGCATTACTGCTATTGTGTTCCAGTAGTTTACCTAATGGACAGGTCTGATCTGTTAGCATGCTATAGTTCAATCAGACATCTAAGATTGCATCTTCGCTGCTTGCATTATGATTTTTTCTTACTGATGCAATCTCAGTTCTGTTACTAACCAGATGCATAGCTATTCAAGATTTCGTAAACTTCATGATCTATCTATCTTCATGTTTTCGTATTGATTAGCTTATAAAACTAAGTCATTCTTTTGGTTGTTATTGAGGAGGCTTTAAATGTCATTTTCCACATGTAAAAGTAACACAGTACTAGGAGTTCCCCACATAGCAATGCTGCTCTAAACAATTCCAGCTGAAAACATAAACACATTGAAACTTGATATGTGGAAGAATCAAGTATTTCATTTTGAACCTATGCATTTTGTCCTGCACTTATTTGAAAGTTGAAAAAAGCACAACTTTGGATTGGATGAAAATCGAGCAAGACATGGACGTTGCAAAATATTTCTTTTTTACAATCAATCTGTTGTTAGAAAGGTCAAATCTTTTATTGGCTCTAATTTGTGATTGTGATTGAGCCGTCTGTCAACATGCAGGCTTGGGTCAAAGCTTTAGTAATCCTCAGATTGGCAATTGAGTTGGTGCAGAATACCTTCAGGATTTCAGCATATCTTTCTAATATCAGTCGTAACAGGTAAAATTTTTACCCTGAAATTAACTATAAATGTAATGCTTCATATTCTGTACTGTCCTTGCTCCTTGAAAGAAACTGTATGTTTACATTATTGAAATCTGCCGTCTTGCTAACTCCAAACAGGCTTGTTCTGGTTAATATATTCATTGCTAGTTTGTCGTATGCAATTAGTTCTTTTATGCGGTTCTGGCACCAGCTCTCTTAATATTAAGGGACAGAAGACCTATTTGAGCCATTTATGTGCCTCGGAGGGATAGGGTGAAGGTGGGGGGATAGAGAGATCGTAAGTTTTTTTTTTTTTTTTCAGTTGCCATTACGTTGCATCAATATACATCACTAGTTGTAATTCCATGAAAATGCACAAGAAAAGAGCTTGTTCAGCTTTTCTTTTCATTTCTGCAACTGCAATATGTATAGTTCTTCCACATTTGCTAACGACTGAATCAAATCTATGATGATTTTTATTTAGTTTCAAAAGTACAAGGAGATGTAAAACCTATGTATTCTCCTGACCCCTCTTTTTAATCTTTTATCTGACAATGAGAGCGTCTATTCAAGGCATTTCAGGCGGCTTTTTTGTCCGTGCTGGATGATTCCGGTAGATAGTTCTCATTTCTGAGGCACAGCTGGTTAGTTGTAAATATCAAATCCAGGTTAACGAACAGCCAAATGATGCTTAGCAGTTTTTTTTTTTTTTTTTTTTTGTGTTGACTTAGCAGTTGCTGGACTATAGAACCTGGAGTTTTGTGTTCAATCTACTGTATGAAGTTTTGCAGAATCATTTACCCTTGAATTTATGTGGCTTTCATAATTTATTTTCATTTGGAATCGAAATTGATAGAATACTGAAAAAACAATAATGCACTTGCATTCAAATTCTGCTAGTTACAACTTAAAATTCCAAGAGTTTCATGAAATTGAGCTCCTAACTGAAGAACATCAAAATTTGATTCTGAATAATATATAAACTTGATAATAATAAAAGAATAACAACAAAAGAACTGACATATAAAAATTGTGCCGCCTACAACTTGCTTCTCTCAGTGTTACAGTTTTAAAAGAGTGTAAAACTTTGATCTTTGATCAAAGAGTGTTGGGAGTGTTGTCCTAAACCATCACCATGTTGAACACAGACGGACATCCAATCAGCCAATCATCAGTTTGCAGATTATCTTTCATTGGTGTTTGCTGATCAAAGGAATTCCAGCTGAACTCTGATAGAGGTTGCATATTGAACCACTTTCCGTCGAAGTTCTTCATCATCAACTTTAACCTTAGGAAATTCCAGTTGTTTTTCTCTGGGCGAACTTGAGTCCTCAACTGTCCCTATTTCCTGATCATCAGAAATCTGCCAATTCATGGGCTGCTCTGATTGAGACAAAATCATAGGCTGTTCTTCTTGTTCACTTACAGAAGGGGAAGAAGACTCCTCATCAGCCAACAACTGATCCTCCAACATAGCGGCAAAGTCTGTTTCTTCTTCATCAACATTCAACAATGCCGAAAAGCTGGCTAATTCTTGATGTCCTTGATACAGAGTAACCCTGCCCTGTTCTCTTTGTTCATGGACAGAAGGAGAAGGCTGCTTACTGCAAACAACTAATCCGCGTCTTCATCATTATCCTTCAACATTGATGAAAAGCTGCCAAATTCTTCCTGTTCCTGATACTGATTAAGAGCAACACTGCCCTTCTGTGATTTGATGCGCTCCCATTTCTTTTGATTTATCAAGTTTAGTGAATTCTGGTGTTAATGAACACGGCGGAATTGAAGTGTTTCTTTATTGCTCGATATCTTGGTTTATGTTCCCGATATGTATCAAACTCAAAGAAAAAGTGATTGTTGTGAATTTGCACATTTTATTAGGCTGAGATTTGTTGTTCTGGTGGTCCATAATTCGATTTAGATTTTTGAGCATCTGACAGTGTGGTGGTTTTTGTTTCTCTTTGTGTTGGGTTCTTTCTGCTTTGCAATTTTGGCTTTGAACCTATTCATTTGACATAGTTTTGCGGAACGGAGTTCAAAGTGCCAAAACCTATTTAAGAAGTTGATGAAATGAGAATGCTATTGAAGGTGCCAAAACCATTATGCTATATTAACTTTCCATAAAAAATGGTTTTTCGTGGCTTTTCTTTGTGCTCCATAATTCAAATGATGAATGTGACAGGAATCTAAATCTAAATACTTGGACTGATAAGTGAAGTTAATTTGCTTGCCGGGGCCATTGTGTTGCTTAAATTTTCCCGAAATCAGCCATATTTCTACATGGTTGGAATGTTGGTGAGTTTGGTAGGCATTCATCATCTGCATAGATAGTCATTGTCGCCCATGAATATAACCTCGTAGTGCAATGTTAGTACGAGAACTTGTCACTTAGGTCCAGTTACGTGCATCAGTTTTTTATCGGTCATCGTTTATTGGAGACCAGATTTTAGACCTTAGTCTTGCTTTGTTATTAGGATTGTGTGTGTGTGTGTGTGTTTTCTTTTTGTTTTTTTTTTTTGAAAGTGGTTATTAGGATTGTTAGTTGCTTGATTTTTAGTTTTTAGTCTGGTAAAACACCCCCTTGAGTTCTTAGGTCTTCCTTGAGCTGAAAGTTTAATGGCATTGCTTTACTTTTATGTTAACATAGAATTCTCAATTTCCAAACTTTCAGCTTTGACAGAAAAACCTAAAGGGGTAGCTATTCTATGTCGAAAGAGCTGGCAAAGTAATTATTGAATTCTTTTACATTTTACATATGCCTGCTATTTACTTTTACCTTGTCGCGGCCAATTTACGGTTACTTTCATTCTGTAAGGATCTTCGAAAGCAGATGCAATTTCGTTACAGATGTGTACATGAAGCTAGAAGGTTGAGTTTTAGATATCTGCAGTAACTTTTGATGAAACGATTTTCTTTGCATGAGTATGGCTCAAGATCTCCAGGGTGGATTTTCCTTCTGTTTCGGTTCATATCCTTCGTTCTATTCGTCTATACTGCCATAATTTCTAAGCTGCTTCCACTGTCTTGCAACCCCATGATTACTGCTATTTAAAGGGACAGGTAAGTTATGCTATGGCTTTCTCCATTAATAATAACTGCTTCTTTTACTTAACATATTGTAACATGAATTGAGTGATAGAAAAGGATGGTGACATGTTGGATAAGGAGTTAAGCCATATATATGCATTGATCTCAAGTTGCAAGTGCAATCACTAGCCTAAATGTTTAGATCCAATCTCACCAAACTATATTTATTTGTTGTATTGATGGGATTTGTCTTGCTTGACCTCTTCTTTTCATTTTTATGGTGACGCTTTGATGAACCTGGGATGACATTCTGTGCAAATGGGCATTACATCTTGTTATTGCTTAATTCTTCACATCTTAGTTTTGGAGGAATGTAGTGAAGTTTTTCACTCGAAGTTGACTGTCTGTTTTTCTAATATTATGCAGGTATTATTGCCTTCTTGTTCCGTTGTTACCTCCTACCCTCCTTGTCGCGGTATACTTCCATTGGCTCATTATGAACCTTTATAAGCATGCTTAGGTCTTTGAAGCTGTAAACAAGGTCATGCTTCTTGTAAATAAATATACAAGGGTTTGTTGATCTGTACATCTTTTGCAAAAGAAATCGAGCAGAAACCATTACATTAAGCTCTAAAGTTTCTACAGCAGCCTAGACCCAATCTTTGGATGTTTTTATTATTCTCCTACAAATTTATAGTATGCCAGTTGTGTCTCTAGAGATGCTTCTTTTGTTGAACCCGAAATTGTGTTTCCTCCAAAACCGTTGATTAATGAAGGCGTAAATAAAATAGAAACACAAGTGATTGAACTTGCTGTTGATTGTTTTGCCGGTACAAGTCTCAGTTTGGACAATCCTCTCTATTGTTTTCTCCATCAATATTAACTGGGTATGCTGCAATTCATATTTTTGCCGCTACTAAACAAGACTAACTTCTTTTGGCTTCTAAACAAGTTGGTAGAAACTATTGTCTACTTTGCTGAGATATGTGGCCTTGCTAACTCCAAGAGGGCCATTTTTGTGGTTTATCTGTTTACTGCTACTGTGTCTCTGGTAGCTCATTCGTTGTGCTTATTATGAAAAGCGATTGCAAATTGCAGGTAAAATAGACGAGATCTGAGAGATAGCGCTCTCTGTAAGCAGAGTTCTGAGGGGAAAGCATCTTCCTATTGCCTTCATAGGTTGATATCCCACTGTGATCTTGTTGGATCCTGCGAAGAACTCCATCAGGCTGCTACCCCCTACCTCTTTGAAGTTGAGATGAAGCAAAAAACTTATAACTGCGTGAGTGCAGATGGATGCAAAGTTTCTAAATCATATCAGCTTTTAATTTCATTCCACGTGATGTGACTCAAGTTACAAGAGAAGAAAACATCAACATTTTGTGAGATCCCTAGACTGATGACCATATAAAGGTGAGATTCCTCCATCAAATCATCGCTTAAGTTAGTTGGCGTTTGCGGTTCCATTTACTTATAAAAGGAGAAAGGATGGAGAAAGAAAAAGGTTGGTACAGTTTCTAAATGTTCATTCTGATGGCACGGGTGAAAGAAGAGAAGGGCAGGGGATGAACCATCAGATGGATGTGTAAAGGCCATGACAGACGCTTCTGATAGTCTGTGTACCGAAAACCTCAGGTTGGGATCATTGATGGAAAAAAGTAAGCAAAAATTTGGCAGCAGAAAGAGTTTCTGTGAAAATTTGAAGCAAGCAAATCTAATTTGGCTTTGGATGTCCGAAACGAGAACTCTGATTTAGAAAGAGTGCAAGTGCTTAATTTACAGAGTTTTTGTTGAATCATTTACCTTTTATTATTACTTCTATAGTTCTGTTACCTTTAATTTTACTTTCGTTTGACATTCCATTTACATATGTAAAATGGGAAAAAAATTCATTTACATTCCATTTCTCCTGGTCGAACATCATATAAAAGAATAAAATAAAAGAACTCATATCCAATAATCCTAATATCTATTCTCCCTGTCCCAAAATTATTGTCCAGTTTGAAATTTCACTTTTAGTACAAAACTGGACAATAATTATGGGACGGAGGGAGTACAATTTACTTCTGTCAAAGCCAAAAACAGTCTGAATCACCACAAAGTTGATTGCAGGAAAGATATCCAATCCAATCACCCCGATCATCATCAGTTTCCAAGTTATTCTTCATTGGTATTTGCTGACGAAAGGAGACTACGACTAAATTCTGTTGGGGATTCGAAATCAAGCGGACTGTTGTGGAATTCGAGTTTCTTAGCAATCAACCTCAACTCCAGCAATCTCCTGTTGTTTTCCCCGGGAAATCTTATTTCTTGATCATCGGCATTCAACAATAAAACCTAGCTGAAAACAAAAATCTGAAAAAATTCAAAATCAAGAAAATTTTAACAACGAGAAATGAGAAAAAGACACTAGTTGAAATGGAGTCACTTATTTATTTGTCTGTTTGTGACCATAACAGATAAACCAAAAGCTGATTTTGAACAAAAGTAATGGAGCAAAGTATATTATCCTAGGAAAACTTTGATAACATTTGTTATCAAGAGCTTGCATCTAAAGAATTTTTAAAATTTACAGGATAAAAAAGGCAGGCGCTGGTGATGGAAACATCAACAAATTTCAGTCTCCAAATTTTGTCACTGATAGTTGCACTAATCAACTTAAGATTTGACACGTATCACTTGTCAGCTAAGGGTTTACTTACCATGCATGATTAGGGTGTTGACATGTCAATTATATAACCAGTGTTACAGGGAGTGTCACGAAATATTCTATACGGTACAGAATATATAGGTATTACGTTCAGTTTTTACTATCGTTTGTTAAATGTCTGTTAAGCCAAAGTATAAAGTAAAAACTTTTGCAGTTATTATCAGTGACGTAGCCATAAATTTCATTTAGGGGATGCAACATGAAATCAACAAATTATTAATAAAACCTTAAAGAATATATATGCAAGAAAATATTAAAATCTTTTTTTCCTCATTCAAAAAATTACTAAAATATGTTTAAGTATTCTACCATTATAGAGTTTATAAATTTGTTTTTTTTAAAATTTATTTATCAGTTTTTGGTATGCCAAAAACTCCATTAGAGATAAGTAATACACCATTTAGGAATTAAATACCATAAAATTATAGTACTAAAATTTGTTATACTTTAACTTAAATTTTATTGTGCACTTTCATTCATAAAATTTTTTATATAGTGTTATAATAAAAGAAATTGCTTATACGAATACATTCTGAACCATCATCATAAACAATAAACTATAAATTAGTCAAATTTTTGACACATAAAAATTCTAGCAAGTACCTTATATGATATTAAACCAATACAAGAAAATTAGTAACTTAAATGAAGTTGTTCTTCCTTGATAGATGAGTAGACATTACCAACCAATATTCACAAGTGGATAAACTTTATTAAATTATCTTCTTATTTAATTTATTTATAGCCTAACCTAAAAGCCAAAAATCATATGGAAAAGGCGCAAATAGAAGGAATTTCTGAGTTACAATTTCAGAAAAAAAGAAAAAGCAAAGTGTAATAGTTAAGTGGCGGCAGCCGAATCGAGACTCTTTTGTCCTCAATATTGATGGTTCTTCCATTAAGGAAACCTTGGATGCTGGCTATGACTTTGTTTTTTTATTTTTTTTAAAGTACATGTTTTATTATGGTAAAGATACTAATCTATTACATTGCATACGGTTGAAAGTTAGATTATGCATATCTCGTACATCCCGTCTGTTTACTTTAGTAATTGTACAAAAAGTAAATGATGAAATTAAAGTATTTAATAATGAAAGGATTTCTCAGGAATCGGATGGCATCAAAGGGGATTGCAAACCTTGCGATAGAACTTCACAATCCGTGAAAACCTAAATCCGAGTAAGACCAAGTGTTGACGCTTCCTGTAAAGCTAGAAGACATGTAGTAGCTTCAGTTTGGAGCGGTCTAAGGGCACTAATCCCTTTGGTTGAGACTTGCATCATCATGCCATTTGGGGATATAATTTTCCATGCTCTAGCTGCATGGCGTGTTTGATGACTAAATGAACCATCAAAAATAACCAGAGCAGTATTAGGCATCCGAAATGGTGGTCTCTGATTAGGCAAATGACTAGTAAAGGAGGGTGCTGGATTGATCCGTTGTTGGAGACTAAGAAGGGACCGAAATTCCGACTGAATTAAGCTCCAAAAAGTTGTCGGATCCTGAACTTGATTTCTCCAGACTTTGTCATTGCGGTCAAGCCAAATGCGCCACATAATGAGGAGTAGTAAATCAACATCCTGTTTGGAGGGCTGTGTTCGACACCAAGCAATGAACCATTGGAACAGAGAGTGATAGGAAGAATTAAAGATGGAACAGAATCGAGGGAAAGCAAGTGCCCAAAGTGCTTGTGACATCTCACACTTAAGAAATAAGTATGTACTGTCTTCTTCTGCTCGAAAGCACCGTGGGCAACTAGTTGTGATTGGGATTCCTCTTTTGCTAAACTCAGAACGAGTAGCCAAAGCATTTGAACAAGTTCTCCAGAAAAGGAGTTTTTGCTTAGGTTGTACTTTCGAATTCCATACCCTCTTCCAAGCTAGCTTCTCTGATTGTAAGATCGCAGGATCCAGAATAGGCTGTGGGATTGTGGAATTAATTGCCACTTGATAACCAGTTTTTACTGTATAACGGCCATGATCCGTGTGGATCTATTCTAAACAATCCTGTTCTTCATGCCTTGCTGGATCAATAAAAATACCATTGATGATGGAAATAATGTGGTCTGGGAAAAAATTCCTTAGAGCATTGACACGCCATTGACCTGTTGGAGAAATAAACCGCTTGACTCGGAGATTTGCTGTTGTTAAAACAGATTGATTGCTAATCGGATTAGAAATTCCAGGAATCCAATTTGAAGAAAGGAGAGTATCCTTGCTAGATATAATCTTCCACCTCAAATTTCCTTGTCATAATTCTGCACCCCAAAGAATGCTTCTAAAGCCCCAAGAAAGTTTTTTTGACGTATGCAGTGGAGGGAAAGTGTCACCTGGGCAATACTTTGCACTGAAGAACCTAGCTAATAGTGAATGTGGTTCCATCATCATTTTCCAAGCATGTTTGGCTAACAGGGCCTGGTTGAATTCCTTGGTAGCCTTTAGACTCAATCCACCATGGAATTGTGACTTGGTAATCTTCTTCTAGGCGCGCCAGTGAATTGTGTGTCACCTTTCCAGATAAAATTAGCAATAATCTTGTCTGTTTTGTCCAGAGTGTGCTGTGGAAGTTGAAAAACACCCATGGTATACACCAGCATAGAGGAGAGTGTAGATTTAGAAAGCATGACACGTCCTGATAAAGAAAGCAACTTGGTCTTCCAAGACGCAAATTTATTACTAAGCCTAGTGGTAAAATCCTGGAAAATGGTGGTCTTATGCTGTGAGAAATCCAAAGACATACCAAGGTATTTACTGTGAAAAGGTTCCCGGGGTATATTGAATGTATCATGAATCAATTCTTGCATCGCTGATATTGGCACTTGTCAGGATTGGAGATTTCTGTAGATTTATCTTCTGACCTGAGTAATTCGTATAATTTTC